ATATTTACAAAATTTACACAGTATTAGATCACCAGCCATCTTAGATAAACCATCAGAAGTGACCAATGAGCTATTGCAGATCGATTAGCCTTCCAATAAATCAAGGAGCCATACCAAATAGATCTCCAATATAACCCAAAGAATGAATTCTATTACGCATTAGCTCTATAGCAAATGCTTGGCTAGAGCACCCACACTGATGGCATTGCTCTTCAAACAAATGTTAACTGGTATAGCTATATGGAAACCATACCTTGATTGTGTGGCAAGAAGTGACCTTGTGCAGTGAGTCATGATTTTGTTCCAGAAAGAGGTTTTTATGCTGGCATCGCTGAGAAACAAGCAGACAGACGCAAATGCAGGATACAATATGTTGGTATGAGCAGTGTTATGCTCTGATGCATATTTTTGCAGCATAATTTAACTCTTGATATATTTAGAAGGCACTCTAAATATAAATTCTTCATCTCTTAATGTTGTGGTAATGGTTATGCCACAAGACTCCAAACTTATCATTAGGTTCATTAAAGGAAGGTAAAAAAACTTTGGGAAAACATAAAATTAACTTTATTTAAAATTAAAAGGTAAAACACAAAACAAAATACATCATGTTAAGCCAACACCAAATGTCGACCATGAACAAGCAGGATTAGTGAAGTACAGGCGCTAGAGAATTTCACGGCAATCTTTATCCTCACATCATAGCGAATGCGCACGGATATGGCGCAGTGAACATGGATATTGCATACAATGTCAAAAATGCAAATACCCCACCACAATGTTATAAATTCATACACATTACATGATGATCAGACGATCATAAAACTTGAATGTAGTCATATCTATTACCACAACAATGTGCCACATTGCAATACTACATCTGTTCCTGATGACTTGAAAAGCAAAACTGAGAATATTTTAACCCGTTAACTGCTGTGGAAAACATACAAGATTCACTCCCTAGTGCCACCGTTTTTTACATAGGCGCACATAGTTATGCGATGTATTAGAGGGAAAATAAGTGCAAGTTTTGCTGTCTAAAAACTGTTTACTTTCAGAAAATAAAGAATAAAAGATACAAAATTTAATTTTTAGAGTAAAAGTATAATAAAAATGATGTTTGTATAATAAAAATGAAGTATAATAAAAAAGATCCCAAAAAATGGAGCTTCGATCAACTTATTTTTAGACCAGCAAAGTATAATATCAGGTTTCAGTGTTATACCTTGTAAAATCAGTATACCTAATAACATAAAAAAATAACATATATTTCTTCTGAATTGGTTGGATTTGCAGGATGTTGGTTTATATACTGGTTTTCAAAATAGTTAGTTTTAGTAACAATATGAAGGAAGAGCAGTTTATCAAAAAATAATTAAAAAAGATAAGTGGGTTTGAAACAACCGTTATATCTTTCTTTATTCCTGGCATCTACTACAAACAGTAAACGAGAACGGAAGACACAAAATAATAATAAAAAAATGTTTTAGTCGAACAAACACGAGCAGTAAGCGCACAGTCATTACTTTCACCACCATCTACTCCAAAAAGCAACTACTGCAAACAGTAAATGAAAATGGAAGACACAGAATAAAAAACAAAATATGTTTTACTCACACAGAAACATGGGCAATAACCATACAGTCATTACTTTCACCGTTTCAGGAAGATACTTTCTATTATCTGAAATGGTATAATCCTTGACATACTCTGTTAGGGTCATTGTGTTGTTGCATTCCAAAGCTCTGTGAATAATTTTACTGGTAGCAGTGCAAAGCAAATGATAGTATTTTGGCAGTTAACGCATTGGCTGAGGAGGGCATATTTACACGTCCATGGCAGTTAAGGGGTTAAACTATTCCCTTGGCCTAAACAACATATGGGACTACTCTAACAGATAACTTATACACATAGAATTTCCATCAAGCATTCTACAGGATTTTTGAAGTAGATACTGCATGGTTACAGATAATTATTCACTTATTGAGATATTTTCGTGAATACAAGTTGGAAGAAAGACACATGATAGGTGGTCATAATAATGTGAATGTAAACTGCGCAAAAAAAAAAAAAAAAAAAAAAAGGGGGGGGACAGTTCTATAATTCTCATTCTACTGGCCCGATTGACAAAATTCAAATTGTGTTTTTCATGTCTCGAAAGCGTGACTTAGGATATATACTAGATTTACAAACAGCACTATTCTAACATAGGTATTTTGACACAAAATCAGACTTTTTCTGAAATAACATACTAATTTTTTTCCATATTTCGATTCTATGACTTAAATTATGCCAGACTGTTAAGTTTTGTAAAAATCGTAAGAGTAGTTTTGAAAAAATTAGCTCTCAAAATTCCTTTTTTTGCTTTAAATATTTGTGAGAGTAAATTTTTACCTTCGCCGTGTTATTGTCTGCTACTTTTACTTTGACTGCATTTAAATTGAATTGTCTAAAACTGAGAAAGTTTGTTTGATGTTTATTTTCACAATGTTTTTAAGCAAACAGGACATTGACAGTTTGGGTCATATCCCAGCTTTAAAAATAATATATACAAGTATAAATTTTTACATTAATCCTCTTCAAGAGAATGATTTAAGTAGCTAATTTTCTCTCGTGTTATAGATTGTATAAAAAACATGATCATTAATATGATTTAGATTGTTTGTAGCCAATATAATAATAGGATCACTCAGTGGTACAGATTAAACACTGCTGGACTGTTTTATTTCTTTGTCATTTAGCAAAAAAATCTTTTAATTAAAATATTTATCCTTTAAACTTTGCTTTAAGCTTTATTTATAGTTAAAATGCCTAGAAAATGAAAAACTACCTTCAACTGAATTGCAGTTGATGTAATCGATATTTTTTAAATATTGGCAAGAATGCAAAATTTATGGATATGAATAATCGCAAAATCTTGATTTTCTTGTGGTGAGTACTGAAAATAAATGTAGAAGGAAAGAAGAAAATTAGAGAGAAAAGTAAGCAAAAATTTGAAGGGGAATTTGGCTGTCAGAAATACCAAGGTGTTTCGAAAAGTTGGATGCTTTTGAATATACTTTCAGAATACTTCAATGAATTTGGGTTCTCAGAGAGAAAACACTTGGACGTGTACACCAGCAAATACCATCAACTGAGCTTGTGCTAACGGAAAAGACAAAAACGATATCATGATATCATTGCAGATTAAAGTGATGAGCGATTGGTTTTCGACTGTATGTTTGTATAAATTTAAATTATGTTATTAATATTCAGAAATTTATCCAGTGATGTATGTGGATATCACCTAAAGACGTTTTCCCTCTTGATGAAACCAGTCTTTCCTTTCATCTCATGCCTTCAAAATGTTTAGCCTCTAAAGACTAATAAAGGCTCTGAATGAATACTGATGAAACATCTTAACTAAAAGGAGTAGTGAGGAAGAAGACTGGATTGTATTGGATTATTAAGTTACGGCAAACCAGGGCTATCTGCCTAAAAGGAGGGAATGCCTTTCGTGAAGAACTTTCTAAGGGAAACCAGCTTGTATATACATTACACATGTATACAAGCTGGTTTTGCTTAGAAACCAGAAAACCACGAAAACGGCCATGCAACCAGCTTATTGGTCGAGATTCGAACTCTGGGGCGAACTACCAGTGTTCAGCGACTTTACTACTCGTCCATTTGTGTGCCCTTTTAAAATGGAAAGTGATAACTTAATTTAAAATTAATATCAGAAATACCAAGATGTTTCAAAAAGTTGGATGCTTTTAATATACTCGCAGAATGCCTGAAAAAAAAAAGAGCTAGCCATTAACAAGAAAAAATAGTATTTTTTTTTAAAATTTAAAACTTTTTAATCTTATGATATTTGATTCTTGCGATTTCAAAAATAAAATATTTGACTAAAATATAAATAACCTTTTAAGAAACTAAATGTAGGATGATAAAATTGTGTAAAGCAATGAGCACAATGTTAAAGCAATATATGCAAGTCATCCTAAGTTAAAATGTCGGTTATACATTTTTCTCATTTATATATCTTTTCTGAACGGAACATTGAAAGGCATGTTAACTGTGCTTTACTGTATTTTCTCTTTTAATATACTCAGTTTTCAGATGCATCGTAGTCTGGGACACAAAGTATTCTTCCGAAAGAAATGCAATTCAAATAAATAAAATCAAATCCTTGAAAATTTATATTAATAAATATATTTAAAATGCTCAGTTTGAACAAATAAATATAAAATTTTAAAACAATTATCTGAAGAGACAATGCAACACAAACAATTAAAAGTCAAAAAATTTAAAAATTACCTAAAATAGTAACTATGACTAAAGATATAGTATAAAGAAAACTATTTGAAAAAAAAAAAAAAAAAAATAAACAATGCACCTTTTATTTAAACTACACAGTTCGAATGAGTAAATAGAAATTTTTAAAACAGTTATTCGAAAGAAACCATGCAACATAAACAACTGAAATGAAATTTGAAAAAGAAAAAATACTTAAAATTAATAACGATTATAATTAAAAATATAATATAAAGAGCATTTTCTAAAAAAAGGAATGATCGTGACTTTTCCCCCCTCACGCACAAGGTAGAAAGGGAAAGGAAAATAGGTTGTCATATATTAAGAAGTTCGCCAAGTGAACTATTCTTGGCACAACTGAGAAAAAAGCGGCAACATAAACTGTTGAATTTCTCCGTAAATTTCGCACCAAACTTTACAAAATTTAGTATCTAGGCATAATTTGAATCATAGAATCGAAATATGGAGAAAAATTGGTACGTTATTTTAGAAAAATTCTGATTATGTGTCAAAATAACTACGTTAGAATAGAGCTAAATATAAATCTAATATAAATCCTAAGTCACGCTTTCGAGACATGAAGAACGCAATTTGAATTTCGTCAATCGGCCCAGTAGAACAGGAGATATAGAACTGTTCCCCTTTTTTTTTGCACAGTGTTTATTTAACTTTATTAGAACCAATATTAAAAGTGTCATACATACTCTAGGGTTCGCTTCATTTCCGTCCCTACAATATGTACTGTTTCAGTAGGCGCTCCTAATGTAGCAGCACTATTAGTGAAGGCATTATCATTAGCTATATTATCCTGAGATGGTTCAATACGCTCGGCATATGCTTCAGGAAACCATCCTTTCTTTCCATGTAATTCACCACCTAACCAACCCGGCTCAGAACTTTGGCCTTCAGGCACCTGAAGAAGATTATTAAGGAAATTCATATGTTAGATACTAAAACAATTTGATATGAAAAGAAATTCTAAAAATTTAAAAAAAGGAAAAAAATATTAAAATAACATGTTAAATATTTTTAACATAAATGTGTTCTATATTTGTAATCAGTTATTATAGTCACTTATATTCCATATTACAGTTCTATGGAAGCGTTTCTATTCCACATGGAACATTTTCAGACTATAGCAGAAGTCTTTTTTCACTACTCCTTTTAGTTAAGATGTTTTCATACTTGTCATGAGAAGCTATGCCATTAATTTGATCATTTCAATCTGTTTATAGTATGGAGTCTTCTTACATAGCTGCCACGAGAAGCTATGTCGTTAATTCGATCATTTCAGTCTGTTTTTAGTTTGGAGTCTTGTTAAGTCCTTTGCTTAGTGAACAAGTATCCAATTCTACTGTGCACCAAGAATTCCAAAGTTGTAAAGCTACTGCTGCTAACTATCTTGTACTTTCAGAACTAAGTTGCAATAATCACTCTGGTGTTAAGAATAATTAAAGAAATATATTTCAGTTTTGTTTAAAACTAATTTTAGCTCTTTTTATCATTTGATAATAATTGCTAGACATATTTGGGCAATGAATTATTAAATAATTATGATAAAGCAGAATAATTTAAGCATAGTTAATAAAATGTAAATATCGAAGCTTACAGATTAAGGAATGCAAGAATTTTTTTCCAAATCATTTTCAATATTCAAAAATAATTATTCAGCAAAGAAATTTCTGCCAATCAGTGTTAACATTACATACTTGCTAATTTTCATCTCATGCCTTAATATGCATTTAGATGTCATTTAAAGTATGAAATATAGTAAAATATTTGAATACAAACATAATTTTAAGGTCTTAATGCATTTAATCTATATTCTCAGCTTCCTACTTATTATAATGTCATTTTAGTCTTATTCGCTTCAAGTAATCTTCTCAGGTACATCTGATGATTAGGGATGCATTTCAAATACATCTCACAAACACATATACGCAGGAAAGCATCACATATAACAGGGTATGACTACAAGAAAAAAATAAATTATAGTAATTTCTATTTTTAATTTTGTATCAATTAATGAAAAAGGAAAGAACTTAGCAGAAACTAAAAGGATGCCAAACTACTAAATTATATTATGACTATAAATTATCTTTCCAGTATACTCATTTTCCTATTTACTCACCCACTCATATATTATTCAACTGCACATGCTGAACTGGCAGATCTGAAATCAACAATTTCTCTGATTTAAGGGAATAGGAACCACGGTTATTCAGGAAGGCAAAAAGAGAAAGTGAAAATGTATATTTGAAAAGAGAGGAGTTGATGAGTTTGATTTTCATAAGTGTGAATAAATACAGATAATTATTTGCTAGAACAATCTGAAAGCATACTTGCCAAACTACGACACTCAAAAATCAGATTTTTTAAAGAAATCAGGATATTTTTCACAATGTTTAAAAGACTTTTTAAATGATAAAAATATAGTTTTAATAATGAATTAACTTTAAATAACTGCTAATTCTTAAATGCAAGCAACACAAAATACCTTACACATAAAAAACATTTTTATTACTTGCAAAAAAAAGGGGGGGACACTTTAATCAGTTTTTGTACAAATGTTATGAACAGTGGCAGATTTTGCTTTCATTAAGAAAGAAACGTCATAATTTTGTTCATAGCAATTGCCACGTAGGCCTGCTTTCGCTAATAAAAGTTTTTCTAATGTGTCATCACTAACATTAGATCTAAATTTACTCCTCATTTTCGTAACAACACTGAAAATACTCTCACACTCTGCATTACTATGGGGAACTGTCAAGATGGCCAACATAATTCTAGATAGTTCACTATTTTAAAATTCCATCAGCCCCTTTCAATTTTCCAATTAAACTCCACTGGGTGTCAATCCTAGCTGATTTTATAACTTCATCCAAGTTTTCTAATTTTAAACTGCAAAATTGCGACTGCAATATTTATCAGTGGCAACATCAATATCATCATCTTTCATGACTAGATGAAGTAACACAGGAAATCTGTCCAAAAAGTACCTTATATGAGAAAAAGATGCATTTGCTAGAGCAGAAACATCAGCAACTTTAGCATGCAAAATCACTTCATCATTGATTGGAAATTTATGTAGTATGTAATCGCATACTCGACAGAAGCAACTTTTAACATAAAGATAAAACTTTTTGTCTTCTTCTGAAAGTTTTTTCACTACTTTTGCATTCTTTAAAGCATTTCTTTAAAGACAGCCAGCGTGTACATACATATTTCAAAATTTTTCTCATTTCAGTATTATGCAGCTTTTGGAACTATTTCAATTTTTCCTTCCTTTTAGAATTTTCAAGATAATAAATATCAACAATGTGTTCATCCACATTTATTGGTAAAGAAGCTGCCTCTTTTTCAGCTGCTAATTTTAAAGAGGTGCAGATGCACCTCATAATTTGCAAATCTGAATTTTCCTTTCTTAAGATGCGTGCAACACCAGTCTTCAAGCCTACCATTACTGGTGCATTATCGGCACCAAGTGCTAAGCAATCATCCAGACGGGCTGCATTTTCTTTTAAAGTTTTAATAATTAGCTGTGCTATATTAAAGCCTGTGAAATGTCTTTCTAAAGTGGGGACAGAAAGTAAACTGCACTCAATTCTGAAGACTCTGGATTAAAAAAAGAAACAACACTTGGATACAGTTTTGAATCAGTATTATTGCTTCCATCCGTAGAGAGGCAGAATGGAGCTGTTTTAATACAACCAATAACGGAAGATTTATTTTTCAAACTCATTTCTTTAACAACTGCACCTGTTTTGATCCTTGCACTTGAGTATTTCTTAGTGATTTTTCACTATCAAAGAAACATTTTTCTTAATAAAGCAGCAGCGTGATCCGATGCATTCAGCGGCAGGTGTAAAAAGGCAGAGAACAGACATTCTGCATTAATAAGATTTTGGTCCTTTGTTTCCGATAATTTTTTTTTTTTTTTTTTTTTAACAACTCATGTTGTCCTTGTGTTTTTGGGTACGCATATGTTTGAGAACATCTGCCCTTCCACCCTGCGAAATCGAAATCGAAAAATCGCAATGACAGATGGTACACATCGCAAATTTATTACATTTCCTTGAGGAAATAATGGAAGGAAAGTCAACTGTGTACGATTTTTGAAATGTACACGAGTATTTCACCTTTCTCGCAGACATAACAAAAGATAATAAATTCTAAAACTATTTCCCGAAGGCACGTGTACTCACACTACTCAGGACAAGATGAACGAAATAACTAAAGAACATTCAAATAGCAGTCTTGAGCTTGCTTTATGCTCATTGGCTAATATATGCCAGATGACACGCTGTGGAGCTCGATGCCCATTGGAGAACTGGAGAACAACGTTTCTAAAATTCAATTGCTTTCAGATGCCCAAAATCACTTTTTTTTTTTTTTTTCACATAACGAAGTACTAAGCCAAGTTCCATAAAAATTTTAAGAATAAGATAAAGTCGTGAGAAATATATTGTAAATCGGGTTGGCAGGAGAGCGGTCAAAAATCGGGAGTCTCCCGCCTAAATTGGGAGAGTTGGCAACTCTGTGAAAGATAAGTAATTTTACAGATTATAGGAATATTATTCCATCATTAAAGGAAATATATATATATATATATATATTTTTAAAGCAAAAAGAGTAAGCATATTTTTAGGATGAGCATAAAGGCAAAGTTAAACAGCGTTGTGGAGAGTCAAATAAACAAACTAACAAACAAACCCACTCTCTCCCCCCCCAAAATAAAACACATACACTTTTTAATGAAAAAGATTTATCTTGTAGTTCTTACTTTCCAATGAAAACTGCACTGAGAGCTTTAAATCATCTGCATAATTAAACACTACTTTTATTACTACTATTATTATTTATTAAACACGATTCAATAACAATCAAACTAATTTAAATATCCATATATAATAACTGAAACTAATTTTAAAATGTTTCTTTCATTCTTGCATGGTTAAAAGTAGGATTTTTATACATGAGAATTTTTAATTACCATGCAATAAGAAAAAAAGCATTTAAGGAAAAATATAATAAAATATTACCAAAACAATGTCACCAGGCATAACAGATAACTCATCTGGATTACGAGCTTCAAAGGCATAAAGAACCCTATATTTAACAACTCCTTGGGTAGCATTTATGGAAGCAACATTAGTGTCTGCAATAAAAATAGTTTCATAATATTTTATCAAAGCTAATAATAAACTTTACATCACTACATTTAAAATTGAAAAGGGTATGATTTAAAATGCTTCTAACATTAGGCGCAATTCGAAGTTAAATGAAATACAGGGTGTTTCTAAATGAATATTGGAGTTTTAACGCTTTGTAGTATTTGTAGCATAAAACTTAAAATCATAATTAATGCATGAAATGAAAGATCAACTCAAACAGTTCTGTTTGTTGGTACGCACATGTGCTGGAAATGACACATGCACATACAATAGTAGCAAAAATTGTGACTAGTGAACAGAGCACGGGATGACCAAGGGTTATTGAAGAGAGTGCTGAGTTCATAAAGTGTTAGTTCATAAAGGACCATGTGTATGTGCCTCCACTACCAGCTGACCTACCCGACCTAAGAAACAGGATTAAGGTAGCTGTTGCAACAATTATACCACAAATACTAATCAACGTTTGGGGAAAACTAGGCTATCAACTTCATGTATACTGTGTGATGAAAGGTATTCAAATTGAACAATTGTAAGCTTGCAGGTATAACTGTTTGAGTTGCTCTTTCATTTCATGTATTACAGTACAAAGTCAGAGATCCAGAATTATCGGGACTTTCGCAATTCCAGATTTGGGATTTTTCCAGATATTAGATCATCAGTTTAAATCTAGTAAGATGGCCCACAGAAATTATAAAATTAAAAATATGAAATCGTGATTTGTTAAATAATGCAGCTTTTATGATCAAAACCATAAATGCCTCAAAATTACGAAAAAAAAGGGTATCAAAATTTAAAAAAAAGCTTATGATTTATTTGTTTACTTTATTAAACATGTAAACAATGTAATTTGTTTAGGTTGCTTCGTTTTTTTGTGCTAATACTTTCTCTTTAATTCTGCAGACAGACATCTTTTTTTTTTTCAATTACATTGCTGAAGTCTTGTAATTGCTGTGTCGAGAATTTCGACTAACTTGTCAATGAAATTTTTTTTTTTTTGTTTTCAGTAAACTCTCTGTCACTTTCTTAACTATCGGTAGCGATATTTTTTGGATCTAAAACCATACTACAGATTTTGCGATCCATTAATTGATTGATGATCGAGGAGCATTGTCATCACAATAAAAAACTTCTTTTATATCATCTTCATTTAATACCGCTTCTCCCCATTTCTTTACAAAATCCTTTGATTCGAAAACTTCACCTTTGGTTTGCGATATCCAAATTGTTCACCTCCGGTTGCGATATTCGGCTATGGTCATAAAATTTAGGTATCGTTCACTATACATATTTGGCTATGTATCATGAAATTGGAGACTAAAGACAAGTTGCTCCGCTAAATTTGATCTTGCTTCTATTGCACTCTGAGACAATTAAGCCTGAATTGTATTAGTTATTTATTGTACTTATGTCTATTTCTTGCACATGCTTAAGGCTTATCTGAGTCCTGAATAAATAAATTCTCACATATACTTAAGGCTTATTGAGAGCTGGCGCTAGATATCTTACCACCTGATGCAGTCTCTTGTAGGTCCTAAATTCTGCTACCAAATACCTTCCTTTGTCTTCCCTCAATTCTGCCGCCCCGGTGCGGCCATATGCGCTTATTCTGGGTTTACGTGAATAGCAAATCAGTTATTCTTAATTCAAATAGCACTAAATGCAATCTTTTGGCCTATAAGTATCAATAAGAAAATCTACTTTATTTTTGTTAAATTTTTCTTCGTCAATATTTCTTGCACATTTAACTTAAATCTGTAATCATCGCCAAGCGTAATGTCAACATTAAAGGTTACCATACCATATTATTTAATTACCAACGTAAAAAAATTGTTTAGGCATCGCTACATGAGTGATTACTCAAGTTGTCACGTGTTGATAAACCTTCTGTCAAATTGACCATTAAAAAACCAAACTGGTCTAAAATCATTATATGCAAATCTGAAATTCAAAAGCAAATAAAAATAAACAGTACATATAAACTTTAAACCAAATTGTCATTTCAAGAACACTCAAAAATTCGGTGGTCCCTAATTATGCTAAACTTTTAATACAAAGAAAATGAAAAACTTTTCAAAGAGATTTCTTTAGATAATAAAATCAAATCTGAGCCTTAGGACAACCTTTGAAATGAAAATTGACTGAGTTTTTAGATGGCTACACTACATTCCTTGTAGAATTCAAAGAAGAAGCTCTGGAGAAGCAAAAGATTGCAGTTCTTGGAAAAAGTATGCGATAAGGTTCAAAATGTTCAATAGCAGAACTAAGTATTTAAACATGCGTTCAAAATGTCCTATCCTGTTAAACAAACGTAGGGTGCTTGCTGCCTGTAAAAATTTATTACCTACGAGAAGGTTGATCGTTGACTCCAAAATGTAAGGCTAAGAAACTTCTGAAAGATGCTGTCTACTAAAATCTTAAAATACTTAAAATACAGAAAGCAGTACTGGCTCAAAGTTGAGGTATGGGGGGGGGAAATGTTATAAAAGATAAAAGTCTTCATGTAATCAGGGTACAATACTTCTTTGAAACTAAAGGCCCCATTTTTTTTAATAGGAGCTAGAAGATTTGCCAGTTATTAAATTTATAAAATAGTAGAAAGGTAGTATATATAATTGAAAGGGAAGAGCAAAATCTTTGTCATATTTTCATTAATGAAAGATCAAAGATTTGGCAGCTATTAAATTTACAAAATAGTAGTAAGGAAGTATAAATAATTGGAAGGGAAGAGAAACAAATCTCTGTATATATTACATTAAATTTCTTATCATAGTTATTCACTATTATCTCCGATTACGTTTTAAGTAATAATTGTCATAATAATAGTTAACATTAGCTTTCTTTAGAGTGATAGAAATTCTGAATAGAGGTTTTTTATTCTCCAAGAGAATTTTGACCAAAGTTAGCGATTTTTTCTTGTAAGTATTCGGCACTGTTGCAAATACTTCTTATTCTAAGGAGTTGAGTGTGTATGGTATAAATTATTACTCTTTTAGAGATATTGGAGTTGCAATTGATGACTTTTATAATAGGGAATTAAAAATCTCTTCTTCTGTCGTAAATTTTGATAATTTGCAAATATAGGTAATTAATATTTCCTTGCTGAAAGTTAGTTTTATTCAGTTTCAAACATGAAGGATAAATGTGATCGAATTCTGTTTAACTGAAGTTGTTGAATGCAATAATACCATCCATCTATCTGTAGATATTAGAGTAACATGAACATTGTACTTGAAATAATTGTTGTTGGAAATGAAATTCCTTGCTGAAAAGGTACAAATTACAGATCACTGAACTTGTGCTAGTTCCCATCGGGATACCGGGATAATAATAAAGCATTATTAAATGCAATGCAGTTATTAAAAAGAATACTTTTTAAATATAGCTTCCACTCTTCTTTGGAAATAAACGTGATAATTTGAACATCTAGCTCTTATGTCTTCCATTTTCGTTTACTGTTTGTAGTAGGTGCTTTTTTTATGAATATATCTGACAGTTAAACAGATGATTGCTTTCCATCATCTTCAGGATCGAACATGTCAGAATATGATATTACATCAAATGAAGAGGAATGTGACTGTTCTCTGAAAACTGCTCGACGTTGGGTACGACTTGATATGAAAAATTTACCTATGGCATCCATCAATTCAGAAGAAATATGTTTTTTCAGGTATACTGATTTCACAAGGTATAACACTGAAACCTGATACAGTCAAAAGTTGTTAATTCACACATCAAAGCTACAAACTTTCTGCGCATGCATCGCGTTGGCGCATGCGCGTAAAATGTTTACGCATGAGCATTTAATGTATAACGGATGCTATAAGCTAAGTTAAAATTATCTAATTATCTATTTCAGTTAATGTTGCAGGTTGCGTTGTTCCTCAATCTTCGAAATGGATCCGGCTTGTCACTTTTTGCAGACTGTTAGAGCAATTTTATAAAAGTAAGCTTGAACTTTTGATTATGTCAAAAAGAATTTCCAATTCTGGAGCTGCCAAAGGATCTACAAAGCGAAAGCATGTTTCGATGCCCATCAAACAAAAAGTGGAATTGCTGCAAAAAATGGATAAAGGCATATCCTTTGTTTCTCTAACCATTCCGAAATCTGTTTATCAAAGTTTGTTGGTTCCATTCAAAATATTCTGAGTTACTATAAGTTTCAAATCTTTGCATGGTATGTTGTTGCACTAATAAGGTTATCATCACCTTGTCGCAGATGAAAAACATTTACTGTTAACTGAAGTACGGAAATCTCGGAGTTTTACTGAGGTCTCGATCAGAATTAAATTCCATCAAAATTATACCCAACAGACCTTGCTTCCTGGGGAGTCTGTTAGAAAAGCTCAAAATAAACTGACTGTGGTGGTAAAAGATGCCCCTGAATTTGACTGAGTTTTGAATTCTGTAACATCACTGAGGATCAGATGCATTGATTGAAAAGAGAACTAATACCATATTTTCATGACACAGTTTAAAAATTGAAACTTTAAGTACTTCTTAAATAGCACTTATCGAAAAGATACAAAACTGTTTGCCAAATTTCAAGGGTGAACATTTCCCTATAAACTCTTTGGAATGTAGAAAGCATCAAGGCATTATTTAGTATTGTGGGTATAGTAAGTGCATTTTAAAGATGGCATACAATTATTAAGTTCCACGAAACCTTTGAAAATTATAGTGTTCGCAGCATCAAATAATTTATTTGAAGACAGCCTCCTACAAGTGGCAGGTTGTATTCAGCATACTAGAATAAATTATAATGCTAACCATTCATTTATTATTCAGTCTCCTAATAGACTGGATGAACTCTTGATTGAGCTGAATGAAATTCCATATGCAAGTTGTATAGTGGTAAATTCCATTTTAAAAACAACTGTTGTATCAATGGAGCAAAGAAAATTATTAAAAGTTTCAAAGCAAAATGCATAGTTTGCAAATTATAAGGGCCATTTGCTAACTGTAGTATTAATTATACGGTCCCAATGATTTAAAATTTAACTAAGGACATGGTAAATGGACTGCTAACAGCTATGCTGTATTACAGTCAAAAGTCGTTAATTCGGACACCCATAATCCGGAATGATCTATAATCCCGAGACCTCAAAGCTAAAAACTTTCTGCGCATGCGTATAACGAATTTAAGCATGCGCGTATATGACCTTTTACGCATGTGCATCATACCTTTGCGTGTGCACATATGCGTTTACGAATTCGCATAATACGTTTCATGCGTGCGCGTTTAATGTATAACGGATAGGTATAAGCTCAAGCTATCTAAATTATCTATGTTCAGTTAATGTTGCATGATTGCAGTTGTTCCTTTAATCTTCTAATTGGATCCGGCTTATTATTTTTTACAGACTGTTAGAGCAATTTTATAAAAGTAAGCTTGAACTTTCGATTATGTCAAATAAGAATTTCGGATTCTGGAGCTGCCCAAAGGATGTACGAAGCGAAAGTACATTTCGATGTCCATCAAACAAAAAGTGGCATTCCTGCACAAAATGGATAAAGGCATATCCTCTGTTTCTCTAACCATTCCGAAATCTGTTTATCAATTTCACACTGCTCTGCGGGGGAGGGGTCAGCACTATCCTTATCTTCAGGGCAGACGTTTTTATTTTATTTGGCTTATAATTCCTTACTAAATGTAGTATTTCATCTCCATGTACTCTGTCTTTGATATGATTTAAATAAAATTCCTCGTCATTATAATTCGCTTCCGATAGTGAAGAAAGTGACACAGAGGTTATTAAAAACGAAAAAATTTCGATTGACAAATTAGTCGGTATTCTCGACACAGCAATTAGGACTTGAACAGCGAAACTTCGTAACTGAACAAGAAATTATGTCTGTTTATAGAATTAAAGAGAAAGTATTATCACATAAAACGAAGCAACTTAAACAACTTGAAAGAAATGTTTAATAAAGTAAACAAATAAATATTAAGCTTTTTTTTTTTTTTTTGTAAATTTTGATACCCTTTAGATCATAATTGTTCTTTATTTCATAAATTATCGTTTCATATTTTTAATTTTATAATTTCTGCATGCCATCTTACCAGATTTAAACTGATGATCTATAATCTGGAAAAATCGATAATCCGGAATCGCCGAAGTCCCGACGAGTCTGGATTAACGACTTTTGACTGTATTATACTTTATTTGTCTAAAGATAAATTAATCGAAATTCCATTTTTGAGGATCTTTATTATCTTTTCAATTATACATCTTTTTCATTATACTTTTACTCTAAACATTAACTTTCATATTTTCATTTTTATTTTATTCTTTATTTTGTGAAGGAATCAGTTTTTAAACAGCACAACTTGCACTTATTTTCCCCATAATACATTGCATAACTACGCATGCCTGTGTAAAAAATCAGTGGCACTCTGAGTGAATCTTGTAAATTTTCTGCAGCAGTTAAGGGTTTAATTTAGTGAGCATATTTTTTTCTCATTATAATTTAATTTTGATGAACAGTGTATGTGTGTGTGTATGTATATATATATATATTATATGCATATTAGGGCATTTCATTTTTCCAAAGATGCGATTTGCATATGACTTTGTGCTTACCCCCCAAATCTTAGTCATGTAAAAGATACGTATACCAAATTTCAAGAAGACTGCACAATATTTAGGATTAGAACACACTGATAACTTTTATCTCAAACAAGTGAAATTTTTGTGAAGTGTTTTGTAATAATGGGTTTTTGATGTATTTCTTTTATTCTTTGCAGCTAAGTAACTTTAAAACTGCACCAAAAGAGGAATTTGGCTGCAACAAAAGGTGCCTAATGGTGAGATTTTAGGAGCTTGGCTCCCTTCAAAGGAACAAGTACTTTTAGTTTTTATTTACCATTGCAAGGACATGAAAGCACTTTTGGATTTCATTCATAACAACTTCGAAGAGGCTAAGTTGCAATGTTTAAAAATTTTTCGCATCCCCAGTTACTGTTTACTGAGCTCAGGTAATAAATAAAAGTAAAATGACAAGAGTCACTCTATGATAATCTTCATTTGGTCTTGCATTAGGATAATAAACTGTTGCTCTAAATTGCCCATGGGAGTGTCAAAACTTAAGAAAACAGAGTTGCAGTTTTAGTGACTGGAAAAGATTTTGAGCATTTGTTTGGCATACCTGCTGCCCTGAAGGGCACTATTGAGCAGATGGCTGAAGAAGTTCTTCAGGATGTTACCTGATTTGGGCTATGAGACAATATCATCAGTATGACTTTTGATACTACAGAGCATCTAATACAAGACTGATACAAGAGGCGTGTACTAGAATTTAAAAGAATTCGGACAAACGTGGTTGGCTTGCCATTTTCATTACCGTGAACTAATACTAAAAGGAGTGTTGTGGTATACCACTACTAGTGCTCCTCACATCCAGATTGTTTTTAAATTCCAAAATCCGTGAACTTCACTAGACAAGAAGTCATATGACAATTCTGGATGAAGAAAGTCTCGTTCAAGCTATCTAGAAGAATAATGAATGAAAATGGTAAACTACATCCAAAATGTCCTAAAAGACAAAAGTCATCCAAGAGAAGAGTTATTACAACCCTCACTCCTGTACCTAGGAGGTTAGTCTCAAAATACTTCAGTTTCAGGATACCAGGGGTTCTACATAAAGCAAAGTGGATAGCAAAGGCAATATATGTACTTTAAAATTGTCCTCTTCACTTAATAGATGAAGATTCCTTAATGAGAATTGAAAGGAATGAAACAGCTTGGACATTTTTTTAGCCTCATAAAATGTTCACTTTTGGCATGGGGTTCGTAGCTCCAAAGAAGGATTTGGATATGCTACAGCTTCTGTGCACTTACCAAGATGCAAATGCTGTTTTGGACATACTATGGCTGATAAGAAAAACATGACTACAGATTTAGAAACCAAACCTGAAAAGAAAAAGGAAATAAAACGATTACAGGGTAAAAACCCCTAGTTTTCAAAGGAAAAAGACCTGAGCTATTTTGTTACTAATAAAACAATGGCATTCTTTGAATAGTTTGGAATCCACAACATGGCAGAATATTGCAGTGATTCTATCTGTGATGTGAGATCACAGATGTGTGAAGAAATGTGAATGCTCTTGAGATGGTCAATGATACTGCAGAAAAAGGGGGGGGGAATAAAGAAAGAAAGAAATAAAAAAGTGTTTAATGTTTAACAAATCAGTCAGGGACAAACAATTATGCTTGACATTACATACATTAAAAAATATTTAATAATGTGTAAAAGATTATAGTTTAACTTATCAGATTTTTTAACTGGAAATAGAAAAACGAGCTCTCTAAACTAAGAAGCAGAATTTTCTTTCGTTCAACATGCACTGCACATTCACATGCTAATCTCAGAGTTCTGGAGGTTACTGGAATCCAAAGATGGTGGAAACTAGCTTTGCCTTTCTGAAAGACAATCTGATTGTCACGGCGAAAACTGGCTCTATGCCAGCTGCTTGAATGCACTTCATGCAATGCGTAATTAGCCAAGAAAAAGATCGCTTCCCATGTTGGCAAGGAAATCACTTTTTTGGGGGATTGCCATATGAAATTTCCTGAATTTTCGATATTTTGAATAAAATATTTAAATTCCCTGACTCTTTCTTCAATTTTCATTCCCTGACCTTTCTCGGTTTTCCAGGTAGCATGGCAACCCTGTAAATATTATCCAATCTTCTTGAAATTTGGCATATATATATATCTTTTACATCACTGAGACAAGGAATAAGCAAAGTCTACAGAATTTTACATTTTACTTTTTACCTTACAAAATGAAACAACCTTATACACATAACATCCATATGTATGTATGTATGTATATTCATTTAAAATTTAATTAACTTTAAATTTGCTTTTTACGAATAGAGAATGTTTGTTAAATTTATATGTATATATGTATGTATAATTACAAAACAATTCTTATATATATTATGAATATTCATAATATATATATATATGTATACCAATAATTCATAATAATTTATAATAAGAAAAACTTTCTATACTCCAAGGAACTCAAATTTAAAACCATGAATAATAATAATAAAAAAAAAATATTAGGAATAGCGCTATACTTTCCTAATTAGCATTTTCTATATCATATCCCCCCCCAGCTTTCTGGTAACTGCTTTTAAAGCATCTCTATTATTCAGTAACACTGAGTTGTCATCTGAGTTATCATCAGGCAAATAATATTAGAACTAATATTATACTAAAAAGCTTATTTCACAGTGCAATTATTAAGCTTGGATAATGCAATAATGAAACATTATTTTAAATTTTAATGAAAATGAAATGTTTACAATCCTAAATCATGAAAAAATAATTTACCATTCCAAGTTTCTGTAGCATTATTTGCATTCTGACCCCAAACCTCATCAAATAGAGCTGTAAACAGAAAAAAGTGCTATTAAATCATATAAATAAAACCTTCTAAAATAGTATTAAATAAATTAACATTCTTCAGTCTATTCTTGTATCAAAATTACATTTCAGTGAATCACATAAAAACACTGCAAGAAATTTGAAGGATTTCCTTCCTCAAAGCTTTATCTGAAGTTTGTTTTAACTTAATCACATGCAAAAGCGTACCACTTGAAGGCATTTACAGTACTAATAAGATTATTATTATTATTTTGAAGATCAAGGTCTCAGCTATAACAACCTGTACTTCTTGCAAGCCAATAAAGATAGCCTTATGTAAAATTGTCATGGCAGCAATCATAACAGTAACAAGAGTGGCATATTTTGTCAAATATTTATAATTGGATTCCTCATTGAATCTAAAGGATACCAGAAAAAGCCCATCATACCAATTTGGTGCACATGATTTTGAAGAATGTCTTGTCCAATAAAAGATCTTAATTAGCAGTAAAAACAGCATGAGGAAGGTTCACTGGAGTGAAGAAAAAACAAAAAATTCCTAATCTTTTCTGCTGGGCTGACAAATTTCTATATCAACTTTGCAACTTTGTTATATGAGAGTAAGGTTGGTTAAAAAGCAAACAAAATGTCAGCTGTTTCATTCCATAGCTATCTTTGGCTAGGAAATCAATTTTATCATTTTCTGGAAAATTCAGAGGATTAGAAATCCAGTGGAAAGTATTCTTTGAGCAGAAAAGATTATATCATTGATAAGAACTTGCACTTCTTCCATTTAAAAGAAATCATTAATGCATGGGAGATAAAAAGACGCTAAATAATTGACATTGTAAGGATTTAAATATGGAAAATTAGCACATTACTCAGGAAATCTTTCCATGGATTTTTTTTTTTTTCTTTTCTATTACAAGATTTTAAAAATAGGAAGGGAGTATTTCTGCAGTCTATCCCAAGTAAGAGCAAACAATCTTTTTAAAAGCCTCTGTCTGCTGGTACCCTTACCAGCCATGATGGCAGTCTGATACTATCAGGAAAGTTTACTGCTAAGGATGATACTCTCCTTTGAAACAAAATCAACATATTTTAAAACTCGGATATATATGATACATGTTTGACAATAATTGGAAAACAGGAAGAAGAGTTGACAGACAGTTTTGGCAGGATTTACAGTTCTGAGGCTTTCTTTACATGAAAATTATAAAATTTTTAAGTCTGACTTTCTGATTTAAAACAAGAAGTCACTAAAGCCTTAAATTTTGCTAATAACTGTATTATCACCTTTAGCAGATCATTCTTGTAAACCAGTAACTTTTCAGTCTTAACTTTTCAGCAGTATAAAATAAAACTAGAAAAATATTTTAATTACTAACTGTTTACTACCTGGCAGAAAACATAACAATAATTGCCATTACCGCATTTTACAAATGAATTTCAATACTTTACAATAGATTTAGAGCATAATGTAAGAACAAATTCTGCTTCTCCCCAGAAGAAAGGTAATCTTCATACAGGATTTGAATCCAAAATTAGTCAGTAAAAAAATGTTTTGCACTGAAAATACAATCCTTTAATTTACCTTTAATCTACAGTCCTTTAATTTAGTCATATTCAAAGCTTGCTAGATGCCTTTCCAAATAAAAAACTGAACAGCTATATATTAAGCAGTATAAAAACGCATGCATATGCTGCACTTATGCTGGTTTAAAAGTAAATTTTCAAAATTTCATTTTCAATAGCTCTAAAATATTGTTTACGTTTATAATTACATATAAACCTCTGAAAGCACAGATATTTTTAAAAGCAATTTCTAAATGTCAAAAGAGCTTCATGAATATTAATAATAAAAGTTACTTAAAAATGTACTAATCAATATGGTATTCACTAAAGAAGTGTGTTTACACCCAGATGTATTATATTTCATTAACACTGTGTTCTATTTGAAAGTCTGTAAATACTCATTCTTAATTTAATACAAAAAATATGCAATAAAGTTTTACAGTCCAAAATTATTGTTTGCACAATAAGATGTATTACAATTTAACAAAATTAAGTTCAGAAAATACAGCTAAAAATTCAGTCACCCAAGTCAAGTAATTATTGATATATTAATAATATATAAATGAAATCAACAACTGCATAGAGAAAATAATACACCATTACCTGCTGGTTTATCATTAAACCCATTTTTATTTTCTCTAGCCTTTTTCTCAGCAAGGAATATGTTCTTTTTTTCCTCATATTGGTTATAAAGATTTTTATAATTTTCTGCAATGGATTTCAGTTTTTCTTTTAACTCCTATATATAGGAAAAAATATTCCTTTATTAAATTTTGTTAACATATATAACAAATTTTTAAATAATGACTGATATATATATATATATATCAATTTAGGTTAATATACAGAGAAAACAACCATGCAAGAAAACTTTGCAAACTTTTCTCAGAAATTCATTCAATTTTTATAAAATACAAACAGGGTTGCCACTCAAAGAGGAAAATGAAATTCCATGACTTTTCCAGGTGTGTTTTGAGAAAATTCCAGTATATTCGCATAGTGCGCGTTGGCTGCGCTGAGATGTAAATTTATCATGGTAGCACTTGAAAACTTGCATATGGCTTATTATATATATAATCCCGAAATAATAGGAGTTGTTTCCTCCACTGAAGATTGAGATTAGAATCTGCCCAATCTGGATTAAAAAATGAGTTTTTTGCAGACATTTTGCAGCTAAACGAAAGAAAGAAATCTATTTAATGATATTTTAAAATAAATTCAGGTATTTTATATTTATTTAGCAGCATACATAAGTAAAACTATGTGCATTCAATTTCGTGATAATATGTCATCATACTGCTAGGTTTAGTTTCAGATTTATGCCAGAGAAATTTGCCTGAAATTTGAAAGTATTATTAACTAATAATAAATAAACTTAGAGGAAAGAAGAACAGTAAATGATATAAACAACATTAAAATGAAGTTAATTACTTAAAAATTGAATTAAATTAATCAATGATATTTTGGTGAGTATAGTCATATTAAACGTTAGCCTAGATGACCGAATACTATTCTTTTTTATTTTACTGCAAAATGAAAAATGAGGCATTTATTAAAATGAAAAAAATAAAAAATTTAAAAGATTTTGTGGTAAAATCCCAGTTTTCGCTACGACCTTGGTACAATTTTGAAAACTGCCGCCATCACCAAAATGACCGGTTTACTGCCCAACACCTCCTTAAACAGAGACAGAGAGAGGTAACTGTTGTTACTGCTCATCATAATGTCGCCAAATCCCGTGTGTACCATACATGGAGGTTAGAATAAAAAATATGTATTGCTAAGATAAAAAAACTTCTCTGCAACAGGAAAGGCTCTGGCCCAACGTAGAGAGAAACAGCTGCATATGCACAAAATATCTGTCGCCGAAGCTCACGAAGTTCGAAGGTCAAGTTTATGAAGAGTACATAAAATTAATATAGTTTTAAATTTCTTTAAACTTTAAAGGAAAAGAAAATATTTTTTTGCATGAGTAAATTAATTAATAGATTAGTTATTTGGAGCAAGAAAAGTACGAAAATCCAAGTATAAATTATCACGAAAGTCAACGTTTCTTCTTAACATATGCTCCACAATTTCCTGTACACATCGTGAAAGGGGAAATTTTTGCCGCCAAGTTTCGTTGCCAAATCCATTGGGAAGTTTTTCCTTCCGCTTTCTAGCGGCACTACAGCAAGCTGATTTACATTACGTCTATGGAACCTTTCTTTCTTTACATAGACGTCTTACATTAGAACAGAGTACATAGTTGCTATTCTAGTCTACATGGTACCATATATTAGGATTAAACCGATTTTGTTATATACGAGAATGGGAAGGTATTTTCTTTAGTTCAACATGCACTGCACATGCGGGTCTTAGGATTCTCGTGGTTACTGGAAACCAAACTTGCCGGAAACTTGCTTTGCTTTTCCAAAAGACAATCTAATGGGAGCTGCGAAAATTGGCTCTATACCTGCTGCTCGAATGACGCTCATCTGATACATAATTCACCAACAAAGTGATCGCTTCCAACGCTGGCGCAAAACTCGTTTTTTAGGGGATCTCCGTATGACACTCCCTGACTTTTCCAGATTTTGACTAAAATATTTAAATTCCCTGATTTTTTCCGGTTTTCCAGGTAGCGTGGCAATCCTGTACATAGAAAAAACATTAAAATAACGTGTTGTGTCAAAAATGAAATTAACGGTTTCTAGTGATTTTATGTACCATGGATATTCAAAGGGTTGAAGAGGATGGCTAGCTCATTCCTTTGAGTGACCCCTTCCTAACGTGATCATTTTAGTGGGACTTAACAGGAACTAATCTGGCATCATCAGCTCCGATTTCACGCATTTAAAACTATAGTTTCATTCTGCTGTGAAGCAATAGTCTAGCGATGTGGATACCCTAAATTAATTTTAATCATATATATTTGTTTTTTAGTAATGTAAATAATACGAAAATTTTGAATCTATGATCTATTTATGTAATATGTCTTCTTGCACTGTAGCAAAGTGCAATAACACTCAGGGAGATGAGAAAGGAAGGGATACAGTATTTTATGTTTTCCCAAAGGAGTATTTGCTTTTGAAGAAAGAATGGATGCAGCAGAGAATGCACGAATTTGCAGTGGACATTTTCTATGCAGTAATTATGAAAATGGCATGAAAAATCGCTAGTAGAAAAAAATTACACCACGAAGAACACAAGAGAAAAATCAAAAACAATGCAGAGTGCTTTTGAAAAACTACATGAATTAAGTCTAAAGAAAATTCATTTCAGGCCGACTATGAAAATGAAGATGTCAATATTAAACCAAATGTGATTGATTTTAACCCTTTCAGTCCTAATGGGCACATACATTCCAGAGATTAGATTTCATACCCTATTGGGTAAATAAAACCCACTTTTAAATGGGTTTTTATGTTTGCAGTGGTTTTAAGGATTTAGAGAACAAATATATGACTAAAGACACCTGGCAACACTTTTAGATTGCAGATGCCACTTTTAGATTGTTTTTGAGCACGCCAATTTCTCAAGTTTCAGTTTGTCTTTTTTTTTTAAATTTTACAGTAAGTACAATTATATTTAATGCATATTTAGCATGAAATAGTTCTTATTGTTCTTATTAAGTAACAATTTAACATTTTTCATGTCAGATTTAAGAAATTTTGAATAAATTCTTTTTGTGGGATATTTTTTCTCAATTGTAATAGGGAGACCAGAAATTAAGGTTGCTACTTATATTAAATTCAATAAATAAATAAATAAATTTTTAACAAGCTTTTATTTTTAATTAATATAATCACCCTCGATATCAACAACCTTTTGCCATCTAGTGTGCAGATTTTCAATTCTGAACCGATAAAAATCAATTGGTTTTTGAATAAAACCTCTCGAGATGGCATTTTGGACATCATCCAAATTTTTTGCTACTAAGAAAATATTGTAGGGACTGGAATAAATGGAAATCCGAGGCCGCAACATCGGGTGCGTATGGTGGCTGTGACAGTGCCTCTCACCCCAACTCATTAATTTTTCCAGTGTTCCTCTTGCACAGTATAGTCTTGCATTGCTGTGTTGCAGAATGACGCTTTTTCTGTTGACAATCGCTGGATATTTTTCAATTAAAGATTGGTTTACCAATCCAATTGTTCACAATAAAGGTCTGCATTAACAGTTTGTCCCAGTTTCAGCAATTAAAAATGATCAATTCCGCGAAAACTCCACCAAACACACCTTTTTAGGATGCAAACTCTTTGCAACTCCTATTAAAACTGCCTTTTGTGTTTTGGATTATCATATAGGACCCATTTTTCGTCTCCAGTAATGAAACGATCAAAAAACGGTTCTGTATCATGCTGTTGAATGAATATGTTGCATGTGATGGATCGGTTGACTTTGTTCTCTTTGGATAGGTTATGGAGAACCAAAACACCTGCTCTGCTTATTTTCCCACCAATGTTGGTTATATGTGTTTGACAGTTCCTCGATTTTTTTACGTGGATCTGCTTCTACTTCTACACTTAGCATGTCGTTGTCTAATGCTGTTGGTCTTCCTGATGGATAGGAGTCAGAGAGATCAAAATTGGAAAGATATCTTTGGCATTTACGAATGTCTAATGCACATGGATTAACATCGCAAATGTTTTTGGTTGCAACTGCTGCATTACTACCCTTGTGAAACTTAAAGAGCGTACAATACCGGATATGATCTTTTGGTATTTGGCTGGCCATTTCCCCCCAAATTGAAAAAAAATAGTTTAATATTGAATTATTTAGAAGTGAGCAAATCCAATAACCTTAAAATGACTTTGGCACGTCTTCGAAATACACAAGCAGCTGACAAATGACAACCACAAATGACACCGACATGTGCAGAAATGACATTATTTTCCGGTCCCCATGTTATTTAACAGTGGGTTAATATGTCCCACCAGTGATCTACTACATGCTGATATATTATGTTTGTATTTATGAAACATATATGAAAATTTCTCCTGTATATGAACTACTATATACAGAGTTTATGTTTTGTAATATTCAGATTTGATATTACTGTAAATTTTAGTTTTGTTTTTGGAGAAAGGGTAATATCCTAGACCAGTGGTCGACAAAGAGCGGCTCCAGAGCCGCATGTGGCTCTTTGGATCCTTAAGTGCGGCTCTGGTACAAATATCCACGGAAGGCTCAATAATATTTTCATTTTAAAAAAAAAACTTGGTAAGAAAAAAAATTACATCTTATTTTGATAAATTAAAATTCTTCTATAAATCGAGAACATGTATAATTTTTTGTTTGAGAAAAAGATAGATAGGAAATTAAAATTTTATATTGCTGTAAAAATATGTAACAAACATCGACATTAATTTGATTAGTTTTCGTAAACATAAACCATGTACAAGCTACCGGTATGCACGTGCATGCTTTTTATAAAGTAGTGAAGGTACAAATTGTCACCACAGAGCAGCAGTTGCAGTGTGAACAGTTTTGCCGTGTCTGCCGTTGTTCTGTCTTATTAAAAAGTTATTGTATTTTTTAATCTAGCTGCACATCTTACAGGTATTTTTATACGATTTTATTACACCTGCTATGTATGTTTCGATAACTCCTATTTGTTCAAATGTTGGAAGTTTTCTTCCATTTTTGGTCATATTAAAAGTTTTGTTAGTCTGATGATGGAAAAAATTATTTTTTCTTTTTAGTGCAGTTACATATACTAATAAAATTGGTATTTTTTAAAAAGATTTTTTAAAAATTTTTTATTTTCATCAATTTAATAATATAAAAAAAATTTTTTTTTGTTTGTAGTAAAGTTTTTGTTTGTTTTAGAATCAAGAGATTGCACATAAGAAAGTCAGAGAACCACATACACAGACAGCGATTACATAAAAAAGTGTTTCATAAATGCACCCAAAGAGCTTAAAGAGAATTTAAGAACAAAGCAGATATTCTGAAAAGAATTAAAGAGTTACCATTGTCTGCCCAAACCATTAAAGATAGAACAATTAAAATGTGTTTGAATATAACCACTCAGCATATGGAAGATTTGAAATTGGTTTTGGCTTTATCAATAGTAGTTGACGAGGCTTTTGACATAAATGATACAGCGCAAGTTTCACTTTTTGTAAGATTTATGTCTCATTCAGGCCCTAAAGAACTTTTAGGATTATTGCCACTCAAAGGTCAGACGCATGGAGAAGATATCGCCAATGCTGTAATTGAGTGTATGGATAAACATCATATTATCCCCGATAAAATTGTGTCGATTTCAACAGATGGGTCCAAAAGTATGACCGGCGTAAGAAAAGGGATTATTGCTATTTTGAAAGAAAAAATTAATCACGAGATACTTGTTTACCATTGTATCATTCACCAAGAAGTGCTTTGTGCGCAAACATTTCCGGAAGAAATTTGTAAAGTTATGGAATTGATTACCATTATCAACTCCATTTCAGCTAAAGCTCTTAATAATCGTCAATTCTAAGAATTTTTATTTGAAATGGAGAGTGAGTACGCTTATCTTCTGCTTCATGACAAGGTACGTTGGTTATCAAGAGGAAACGTTTTAAAATGTTTTGCATCCCTTTTTCCAGAAATTAAAGAATTTCTCCTTGAGAAGGGCGTTCACTATCCAGAACTAACAAACAATCCGTGGATCCAAAACTTTTATTTCATAGTAGACGTTACGTCTCATCTAAATCAGCTTAATTGTAAACTACAAGGGAAAGGAAACCTTATGTTTTCGATGTTAGAAGAAGTAATAACATTCGAAAACAAATTATCCATTTTTGCACAGGATTTTGAAAGGGAAACATTGTTTCACTTTCCGAGCCTGCTGAAGCATCGCCAAGAAAATATTTTCTCTATTGATAAACACCAATTTTAAAACAATAATTTTAAATATGAGGGAAAGCAAATTTCTCAGCAGGTTTCAGGAATTTAAAAACAGCAGAGCAACTTTAGCATTTGTCAAGGAATCCTCTTAATGCTACGAATAACCGAAGTTGAAATTTTTTCCTCTTGAAAGTTGACATTGGTAGCTTTGAAATACAACTGCTGGATTTAAAAAAACAAGGAGATATTGGCGCTCAAATTCGAAAGTCTTTGTGTTGAATTAGGAAATATTGGAGAAGAAAAGATGTCATCTTAGTTTCCACAACACAAGTGGTCTGCTTTGAATGACCTGAAGAAGGAAGACATGATCATTTTCAACGCTTGGAATAGTATTCCTGATTCTTACGATCAGCTGAAAAAGCTCGTGCTTGCTGTTCTTTCCCTTTTAGGTTCTACATACTATATATGCGAACAATCTTTTTCAAACATGAATATTATCAAGAGTAAACTGAGAAGTCGTCTTATTGATGAGAACTTGGAATAATGCCTAAAATTAAAAACAACAACATACAAACCTGACTTACTTAAATTTTCCAAGGAGATGCAAACACATTGTTCGCATAAATAAATATTTATTAAGTATTAAATTTACTTTTATTTAGTGTAATTAAAAGTTTACTAAACAAGCAGATTTGGCTCCCAATTTTTTTTAAAAATTGTTGTAATGTTCATATTTGGCTCTTTGGCTAATAAGTTTGCCGACCACTGTCCTAGACGATTGGGACAAGATAGTCCCAGTTGGCAATAGGATTGGGGCATATTGTTCCAGGAGATTTCCAGGAAATGAAAAAAGTTAAAAACTTTAAACTCATATTACACTTCTTTTAGTATGTCAACATTAACTTTAACTACTTTTCATATTTAAATTTTAGTCATGAAAAAGTCGGGTTGAAAGGGTTAAAACAAAATTACAGATGACAATGAAAATATTTCTGAATATTCTAGCAAGATAAAGCAAGAATGCACAGATAATTTGAAGGAAAAAATAATAGCCTTATAAAATTATACTGAAATATTGAAAAATGAAAATAAGAAAAAATTTTAGATTGTTTGCTCAGTGACAAAAAAAGGTGGATGACATTTAGAGAAATTTTTCATCAGAATTTCCAAAATTTAAATTTAAAAATAGCAGAACTTAAAAAACAAAGCTAGCTGATCATTTTAGATAATTTATAATCATATAAAACATAAATGCCATTAAAATACCCTCACTCAAAAGGTAAACAACACAGACTTATGTTCTAGTAATAATTCAAACTGTAAAAATAAAAAACCCATAATAAACAATTTTGAGTTTGGCAGCCTTGTTTCTTGCACACTTTGAGTGAAAAAAACATTTGGTTTTTAGTTTCTGCACTGGAGCCAGTGTGCAGCTAGCTGTGCAACAACATAACAGTGTGAGTGACTCTGGCCTTTTACTTTTTGGCATTCCAGAACTGCTTTTTGAACAATGACTGTTTAAAAAAAAGTGTGGTTTTGTTAACAGTAGAAAAGTTTGCTGCTATCAACATGTGTGTACGATGTAGATTCTTGGTTGATTGTAGGTATTAAATTAATTATCAAACATGGCACAACTAAAACATTACTCCCTTTCTCTATTTGTTCTTCTTACTATATATCATTTAAGTTACTTTTAGATGGAGGCTTATATCCAAAATACACCATCTACATTAACTTTACATAAGGATGGTTTTTTATACTATTAAATGATGCATTTGTAATACAAAAAAATTATCTATTTCATGATTTATTTTATATTTTTTATAAGAAAGTGTTTTTACTAAACATTTACTTAGATCGTGCATCATGTGTTTTGAATTAATACCCTCATCAGATATATGCTTCGGATTAGACAGACATGGAAGTGACTCTTGCATCGTAATAATATGGCTTATTTAAAATATTTTAAACAATTTTATTTCTATGAAAAACTTCTATATTTTTATTTAGTTATTGAAAATCTCTATAAAACATTACCAATAACCTTATTCTCTGATTTTAACACATTTCCTATCATTTAAAGAAGAAAAAGAAAGGAAGAATATCCAGCTTTAATCAATGATTAAAGAAAAAAAAGGATGATTGAAATCATTGATACAATGATATATATATATATATATATGAACAAATAACAACATTCATTACTTTTCAAATTAGAAATTTATAATAGCATATTAATTGGAAAAGGCATTACCTGAATTTGATTATTATTATTTTCTATATCATTTTGTTTCTGGGTAGTATCTTTCTCGATATTACTTAAGGTATTCCTTAACTGATTTAGAGCCACTTGTTTATTATTAAAACTATGCATCACAGAATTATAAGAATCAGCTATAAAAGAAAAATCAATAATTACTATTATTTAAGAATCACACGTAAAAAAAAAAAAAAAAAAAAAAAAAAAGAGAAAAGATTTTATGAGAAATTTGTTTATTGTTATTGAATAAGTTTTTTCTATATATCAACATTAAGATCATTTTCTTACTTGTAGGATTAGGCTGAGAAATGGATGATAGTTGTGCATTCATGCTAATTTTTTCTTGAGATAAAATTAATAGACGATCATTCATTTCCTGAAAATAAGATAAAATACAATAAAGACTATGAAATATCTTACCAAAAAAATATACTACAAATCTATAAATTTGAAAAAATTATTACTTTTATTTTAGCTTTGACATTATTCATCTCGGCTAGTTTAGTATCTCTTTCAGTTCGCATGTCATCAATTGAAGATTTAACATCAGAAACTCGTTTTCTTGTATCACTAATTTTTTCATTAAGTTCATTTATTTTTGTTGACTGCAAAAGGAAATAATAACATTCGAATGCCTTATATATATATACACAAATTAAAAGAGAAATCAATACATTCACCCTCAATCTATTTTTTATTATTTTAGAAATCTTACACTAAATTTCTAACTATCTAGATACATAAAGTGAACTCACTAAAGAACATCACTGCTAACTAAGGGCTTTAAAAAAAAAAAAAAAACTGAATATTAAAATGACCAACATAAAATCAATCACAACATTGTTTACCAATTGCTCAAGCTCAAATGTAAGATTTTTGTTCAAATTTTTTAAATGGCACACAGCTTCTTGTTCTTTTTGTCGTTGAGAAATCAGCTCTTGACGCCGCTGTTTTTCCCATTCCAGCTGCCTCTGTCTCTCCATTTCCCGCCGGGCTGCCTAAAAATGACCAAATAATAACATTAATAAATAACAATATAAAAATCAGTAAATTTCACCAAACATAATAGGATGGATGAAAATTTACATAATTAATATAAAATATATAAAAACCTCTCGCTGTTCTAGTGCTTTACGCCTTTGTTCTTCCTTCTCTTGTTCCAATTCTCTTTGTTTAGCCAGCTGTTTTTCTAGTTCTAATTGTCTTCGCCTCTCTTGTTCCTGCCTGTTTAACATCAATGAGATAAAAGAACATAGCAATAACTTTTAAATGTTAACCCTATATAAATAAAGAATATATTTAACTGATAATATGGCACTTATATGTTATCACAACCACCTAAGCAGAAATCAACAGTTTCAAAGTGTGCCAAAATCTGGCAACAAATTTTATAATAATTCTTTTGACAACCATGTGCATGATAATTCTTCAGTTTCAACAATCACCATATTTGTATGAGCTCTTTTTGTTGTATTCTAAATTCAGTGAATTTTATAGACATTCATTCAATGGTTTTTACGGACATTGTCTTAAAAATACATGTTTGTGGGATTTGCCTGCATAAGAAGGAATTGTGGTAAAATTTCTAAAGAATTACAGTACTTTGTTACAAAATTGGTGAAGGGAACAATTACTTTGAGTCTCTTCTTACAGCAATCACGATGAAATTTGCATAAATTTTTTTCCTCCCTGGCTGAGATGGTTACAGATGCTGTTGGCATACAGATAGGATGTGTAACAGATTTGTAACAGGAATTTGGAAGCCAAAAGTAGTTGTAGATTCACTACATAATTTTATTTCTCAATGAATAATTTTTAGGACATATATATATTCTCTTTTACAGATCACTACAAGTGTGACAAACACCCCACAATTCTATATACAACTTATCACATTTTGAGACAACGAATGAAATGAGGTAAGTAATGTACATGTTTGCACAGTGAAAGGAAGACAGGAAAAAGTTAGTGCACATTTCAGCATAGCATATTTAGAGAGTTGAATCCTTTCTTACATTTCGAATGTTGATTGGTCAAGTGATAACAGTATTGCATGATTAAAGATGGCATAATGCATATCAGTTTTCAGATATGACACACTTTAGATTCCAGGAAGGGGACATAGTCAAAGTAAAACCAGAAATTAAAAGGACCATCGCTAAATTTAAGTTCTTAGTAATTTTCTTTTATATTTTATATCTTACATATGAAGAAAACTTATAAAGATTTTGGAAAACTGAGATATAAAACTATGAACAATATGAATTTAGAATAAATAAATTGAACATAAAAGTACCTAATTCTCTCCCTTCTTTCTTGCTCTTCTCTTTCTTTCCTTTCTCGCTCTTCTTGTTCTTTTCTCTGACTCTCAAGCAAAGCTAAACGGCGCCTTTCTAACTCAGCTTGTCCTTTCTCAAAATTTTCCCGCCTTTTATCTTCAAATGTCGCTTTAACGAAAAAACAAAATTTTAGGTGAAAAATACAAACTATATAAATATTTAATATTATTTGAGCAAATGTGTATTAACAGAACAAAATTCATATTCATATTTCAATACTAGCAAAAGAAAATTTTTACAAACATGAGTTTGAAACAGAAGATAAAATAGCACATGCCAATAATTATAAATAAATTTTGATTACCAATTTAAGTTGCTCCAAAGATTCTACCATACTGAAAACTGTGAGTTAATTATTTATACTATTATTATAGACTTTAAAACTAGCTTAGCTTTATTTTATTTAAAAAAAAAAAAAAAAAAAAAAAAAAAAAACCTGCTATTAAATGTTCTCTATGTTAACATGACCTGCAACTTGTCTTGGCCAGTATTTTGAAGAACACCAAAAATAATTAAAAATTTTCTTACGTGTTTTTATTGAATTTCAACCACTTTTTCATGCAGGTTAAATAAGCAAATGTAGTGCACCATGGGCCCTACATGACAGAGGTGAATGACAGCTGGGAGATGCATTTGGACAAATAGACATGCTACCATTGAGCAACAGACCCCCAGATGAACCAAGGGGTTACCAACAGTATCTTCTCAACCATGGTTCAGTGAACATTGCTGGGTATGGGGCTCCACACCAGATGCCTGGTTAAAGCACCTACGCTGACTGCAGTTCATCAGGGACGAAGGCTGGAATTTGCATGCTAGTACCGCAACTGCACATCCACATCCACTGAGCAGTGACAGGTGGTTTCTTCCAATGAATCACATTTTTATGCTCTATCACATAGATGGACATTGGTTTATATGGTGTGAAACATCAGAAACCAAACATTCTGCAACAACTGACGGAGTTGGAGGAGGCAGCATTATGGTCTAGGGAATGTTTTCGTGGTATTCTCTGAGTGCCCTCATCATTGTGGAACGCACGATAGATCAACAGAAATACACATCTGTCCTTGCGGACCATGTCCACCCCTACATGCGAAATATTTTTCCTCAGAATGATGGCATCTACCATCAGGACAATGCTAAATGTCATACTGCTTACAGTATATGAGCATGGTTAGAAGAGCACCAAGATGAGTTCACCATACTCCCCTGGCCAGCAAACTTCCTAGACTTAAACACAATCAAGAATCTGTGGTACAGCCTTGATCAAGTTGTTTGCGCCACAGATCCTCAACAGCATAACCTAGCACAGCTGGCCACTGCACTGGAGTTTGCATGGCTCAACATCCCAGTGAATCCAAGATCCTTCAAGAACCTAACTGGCTTTCTTTCTGCACATCTCATAGTGGTCCACTTTGTGAAAGAGAATTATTCTGGCTTTTGACAGGTGGTCACATTAATGCGACTTGACTGTGTATATCAACCAAGGTTTCAGCACTTTCACTTCTATTCGTTCTGTAAACTCTACCAAAAGTAAAAATTAAGGGAATTTATCTAATGAATGACAATCTGATAGCTTATAAGGAGAGCATTAGCATTTGAGACACTAGCACTGTATCTCTCGTATTCCACCCCACTGGATACCTACAGTGGTTTTTGGCGAGTTTCTGATTTTTACTTCCTAGTACAAAGTAAAAAGGAAGAACTGTAATCACGAAAAGTTTCAGGCAGCCTATTTCATCGAAAATATCCCTTTTGACCACTTTTGAATGCAATTTAACGATGTTTTTGCATATCTGTACGTAAGGACAGAATAAAAGACTCTTTTCCTCCAAAAAAATTATGAAACTGTTTTAAAATGAATTCTGAGGAAAATTTTTCACGGCGTCTTTATGAACGTATGTACGTATCTCGCATAACTCAAAAACGAGTAGCCTCAGAACGTTGAAATTTTTGCATATATGACTACTATAACATGAAGATGTGCACCTCGTATTTTGGTTGCAATCGACCGCGCCAAACGTATATAAATATATTTATATATCTATCCACTCTGTTACCCGGCTCAGTGATCACAGTTTCTTTACTCTTATATGTTTGTAAATTGTACATTTTTGCTTTAAAAATGATTGAATTATGTTGTTCTTATCTTCCGGTTAAGGTTTTTATGCCTTTAGTAAATCTGTATGTAATATTTTTAGAATTATCAACAATTTTAAAGCTGTTTAAGTGCCGCTAAGCCTAATAATTTTTTTGATGGCGGCCATTGCTTGTTTACATTTGAAACAGCAGAGTAATGGATTTGTTGCCAATCTAGAGAAACGTAGCTTCGCAACAACAAAGATAACGCCTTCATTTATTATTGCGAATTAAATCGTGCTTAATCCTTTCTGGAATTTTTTTGAGGAAATAAGTGTTTAAGATTTACTTCTTAATTTTTAACACAGATATTTTGAGTTTTTATGTGTTTTTGCCTTCTTGCGAAGTGAGAACTGAATTAATTGAATGTGAAATACTCAAGCGTCTGTGAAAAACTGTTTCTTTTTTGTTTTGTTTGCTTAATTTCTGTTATACATCATTCTAGCTTTATTATAGTATTTGAATAGAACATTCTGAATGACCTAACTACAGTTTTAATGAGAATTTGTCAAGAATAAAAAAATTATGGATACATAACTGTCAGAAAAACTGAATATTCCTTTCTCAAAACTGAAAAGAAATATTTTGAAAAGAAGGAAATAGAAAGAACGAGCAAGTTTTCAGAAAAACCACTTCAAAATAATTGCATATTCAATGCAAATATCTATGTTCAAACAAAAAAGGTTCAATTTCCTTGAAGCTTCTCACATTCACAAAAAAGTGTCTTGTTTGAATGTTTGTTATGAATGTTTAATAACATTAATTCTAAATCAATTTTAGTACTACCCTTATATACGCTCTCAGATGTATGGCACTGTCAAATGTGCCAATATGTGTTCTGTGCTGGTTTTTGTTCATACTCACCAGCTGCAAATTCATCCACTTAAAAAACTGAAAAATCTAGGATAATAAATTCTTGAACTGGTATTAATTCTTCCAGCTTATTAACAATGACGCTGCACAGCTATTCATGATGCGATACATATAGGTTACCAAATTTAGTGCTTTGGTGAACATTTGGTGACTAGCAGAAAAGTAGTAAATAGCTTACAAAAATGGAAAGTTTCAAGGAAATGATTTACTAATCAAAAAAATTTACTGATTAACTTTGTAAGAAAATAAACACTTAATCAAGGGATAATTCATAATTAATGAAAGATTAAAAAAATTTCCTCAAGATATAAAACATTACAGCATTCCTAATATGATTAATGAACACCATTAGCAAAGAATGCTGTGCATTTTTTAAGAATTTAGATCTAAAATTACATATTTTACAACATAGGGAAGAGAATTAATTGAAAGATATGCAGCAAAAGTATGTGTAAAAAAAAGTAGAATGATTAAATTATAAGGTATTTCTTCAGCCTTCCTAGCGAGCCTTCGTGGTGTAGTGGTCAGCACACTGAGCCGGTTTTAGAGGTTCGTGGTTCAATTCCCATCGAAGGCGGCTGCTAATTTTTCATCTCTCTTGCTTTAAAATCCTAATGTCTCTACAGTGGCGGCCGAACTAAAAGGGTGTTGGATGAGGATTCTCCACACTCAGGATTTGGCAATTCGATCCCTAAAAAATCCCAGTTGCTCTTTAAAAGGGGGAGTATATAAGGTATTTCTCCCACCTTCCTAGCAAGCCTTCATGGTGTAGTGGTCAGCACACCGAGCCGGTATTTCAGAGGTCCGTGGTTTGATTCCCGGCGAAGGCATTGCATATTTTTCATCCTGCCTGCTTCAAAAAAATACCTAATATCTCTGCAACATGTTATAATGCAAAAGCTTAAATTCCTATTTTTCCTGTATTTTTTAATACATTAATTTCCACTTAAATAGATTATACAACATTGATACATGAAAGATTATAACAAGAATTTCAAGGAAAAATACACAGCTCCATGTAAAACTTAAAACAACTAGTATAAAAAATATTTACTTTGTTGAAGTAATTTGTCATCTTTGAAATCTCCAAGTAAATTGATTTCACCAAGACCGTGACTAGATACAGATCCAGCTAATAAGAAAACACATCATATGTTATATATCATGACAGCTGTTTATAACAGATAGTACAATGGAATCTTGATCTAGTATTTTTCAATGGGATGCACTATATAAATGATGAATACTGGAAAACCATTAAGCTAGAAAACTATTATAATTATACATATGTAATATACTATAAATATGTAATGTTTATTATTTTCAACATGAACAAGCTATATTACAAAAAAGCGCGATAATACACCCAAATGGGCATTTTTCTCATTTACAGACACATACATGTTTGGAGAGAATGTTGGCTAAAATATTTAAAAACAGCATATCTTTCGAATTTCTGAGAGACGGTCTTATGTGCTGGAGATAAAATGTTTTATTCCCTACAGTGCTGCCATGGCTCACTTTGAGTTTTTCAATCAAAAATCGGATAGAAAACTATGTTATTCAAAGTTTGTGAGTCTAGGTATCATTGTTTTTTCATAATGCAAGAATCATACATACATTCATGCAGATTCTTCATTATTTAGTTTACTTAAATATAATACAGGGCAATAACATTTGGTGGCAACATACATGCATTCATGCAGATTCTTCATTATTTAGTTTACTTAAATATAATACAGGGCAATAACATTTGGTGGCAACAATCTGAAAAGTGATACATTGCATTTAAATGATTCAATGCAAAATACCATTTCCAGACCAACAGCCTTTCTTAGCTAAAAAATTAATTTAAAACCAAAAATGGCATATACCGTTTCTTGTTTGAAATTTGCCTCAAATGAAAATACAGTTTTTCATGATTTATAATTTCACAACCTATATCATTTCCACTTTTCACACAGAAAAAAATGCTTTATCATAAAAGTCAGAGATCAGGAAATGCAAACACTGCAGTTTCATCGCATTATTTATATAAATATATACATTTAATATACCAATTTTCTATATTCAAAGATGTAATTCTGGGGAAAAGCATAAATCATATAACTAAATCTTACTAGACTGAATGCTTGTTGATCTCTTCCGCCGATGAGATGGTGGTATGAGATCAGCAGGTAAAACACTAGGCAAGGCATCTCCTGCTTTTACACTTTCAGCTAAATGCATGGCAAGAACAAATTCTTCACATGAGAGTCTTCCATCACCATCAATATCAGAAAGAGACCTTTTAAGTATGTAAAATAAAATATTAGTAGAAAACTTATTTATAAGTAAATATCTGCCTCAACCTATGACCAGAATATTAATGATAAAATTTTATAAAAATATGATATATACTGCCAAGTAAGATCCTTCACAAAGCATTTTTATAAATTATTAAAAAGTTTTCACAAATAAAAATAACATACCATATTTGAGCTAAAATGGGTTGACTTAAGCCAGTATTAACCAGAATATTCCTTGCTTGAGCACCAGTAAGAAAACCAGTCCTGGTTCTATCATATGAATTAAACAGTTGAGTATATTTTAATTTAGATGGCTGAGGAACTGCCCATTCTATTAACGGTGCAGCAGGCATGCCACTGAAAATACAAACATTCAGCTACAGTTGAATTATTCGGTAAATAATATCATTTAATGTTAATCATGAACTGAAAATTAAGCATTAAAAACTTATATTCACTGATCATAATCAAAAGGTCTATAACAGAAATCGCAACTGATGTTTTTAAAAAAATGGTAAACACAGTTGCATTAACATCCCTAAAAAATGTTTCACAGAAATTTGTACACCTTTCTGTATCAAAAGCAAATGTTCAGAACGAAGGAAAACCTCTTCACATTACTGGAATAATGAAATAAAATTTATTGCAAAAAATCCTCACTTTCAAGGCTTATACATTTTTATTATTCAAGGCTTACATTATTTGTAAGATATGAAAATTTCTTTTCCTCAAAAACTAAAAAAAAAAAAAAAAAACAATCAAATAAAATATGAAATATCATGTTCTTCCATTTAAACCCTAAAATTTCATTCAACAGTAATATTACAAAATATTTAAAAAGAGCATGTCTTTAGAATTTCTGATACTACGTAGTTTTGCACACTGGAAATAAACCCCCCCCCGCCCATTACAGTGTTGCCATTGCTCTCTTTGAAATCGTTGAGTTTGTTAATCAAAAATTCGTTCATAGCCATATTTTAAGTTTTACAAAATATAAAACAGATAATAACACAAATTCTAAATTTGGGCTTCCAGATGCCCATATTCGAGTGGAGGACTATGTTATTCAAAATTTGATGTATCACTGTTTTTTAATAATGCGAGAAACATGTATACATTGAAAAAATATAATGCAAGGCTCTAATACTTAGCGACAACAATTTGAAAAGTAAAATGCCGTTTTACAGTATATAACACAAAATACGATAACAAAATTAAAAGCCCTTCTGGTCAAATTGCCCCTTTAGGTTAATAATTTAAAACCAGATCAAAAAGGACTTTTTGTTTTGTTTACTTGAAACAATTTTGAAACTTTGTTGAAATATACTTAATAATAATTGCATTAAATGGTTTTAAATACATTTGAAACACTTTAAAATTGGCATTTTGATGATCCCACTGCATTCTAACTGAAGATTTTCTCCATTGCGTTATTAAGTTATAATGATATATGTAAAGTCCCAAATTGATGAATACCTCTAACTATATTTTAATATTATATGCACATATAAGACATATTAATTATTTTATAACAACTCCTTAAACAGCCTTTCTAATTTAATTATTTTCCCCTTCTATCTTAAAAAACCGAAAACTGTTTCAGGGTTCATAGCCATATTTTAGTTAAAAAAATAACCACCTGTCTAATTACATTATACACAACTGCATACATTTAAAATTAGACTTGTAATTTAAAATATGAGAAATGCATTATTAAAAAGAGAGATAAGCATACCTCAACCAAAAATAATTACTTTTTTTTTTTTTTTAAATTTAAGAACAGAAATAAGTTAAAAAAGAAAAACTATGCAGAACTAAACTATATTACAAGATTTAATGATGAAATTTCAGTTCAAAATAGAGAAAAAAATAATAATAAGGCATAGTTATTGTATTCGCTTGGAACCTAATAATAAATACAATTTTATTTTTCCACTCATATTGATATTTAAATAATTTAAATCTAAATTCTGAACATTTTCTAAATTTTCATTGTATATCAGTTTTCCCTTAACAGATATTGCAAGCAAAGTAATTTAAGTAAAAAAGAGGAACATTTCTGAAAACAGAAGACAGAAATTTGCTTCATGCAGTCATCCTTTAACAGTAAAAGCTTAACTAACCCGCATACTTGGAAATTGGCGAATATTCGGACAGTCGAGCATAACTTGAAAAAGAGGAGCGGGGGGGGGTAGACTGTAGCCGCTCTTTAGATTTTTCCGCTAAATAAATGCTTTTGACATTTCGATATGTGCATCATATAAAAATAAACCAACAGAACTGAAAAAATTCTGCTTAGCAAGCACAGTAAAACTCTTAAGTGTTCATAAACAAATCTCGCACTGAACATCAAAATTAATTATTTCTGCAAAATATCGCAAACGTTATTGCGCAATACGTGCGCCGTAATTCTTCCCTACATGATATTACGCAGTTGGAATCAACAACTGCCGGTATTGGGAGAATAAAGAACTAAATAACTGGGGTGTTTTTCATTCTAATTTTCAACAGACGGCGTTAAATTTCCGGAATAGAATCATTCTTCGCTTGGGTTGGTTGGTAGACTGCACAGAACTTTTAGTCCTATTCAATCCAGATTGGAAAGTGACAAAAAAAAAAAGGAGAGGTCCGTTGCTTGTTTTGCAGCGAACTGTAACAGTTTCAATATTCGAGATTTTGCGAAGAAAGGGGAGAACCTCCCATTCTTTATACTGTATAATGTATTGGCCAAAAAAATGAAATTATTTTGACTATTCGATTACTTTCCCTTTATTTAAGCCATTTCGAATATTATTCCTTAGAAAGTTAACCTGTGTTAAAACACAACCATTTTTGGAAGTTTACTATAACGTCAGCAGTTACTGCAACTATGTTATTATAAACATTTATACATATGCTCATAATATAAGCATAATGATCATAATAAACACGAATATGAACTGACCAAGCGGAATGAGAATGCAAATTATTAAGATCTTGATAGAAATTCAAACGTGTTTAGTATTTGGGTGGGCGGAAAAGAATGCCGGATGTACCGGAATTTTCTACTGCTTTCGCAATTCTTTGACCAATAGAACGACGGGCACCTGTCTGTACTCTTCGTGCACACCAAAGGTTATGTTAATGCAGAGAAAGGGGGAAAAGCTATTTCCGGGAGTATGATTCACCATCTGACATTCTATATTAGGAAGAAAAGTTGTTTATTTAGCTTCGGAGCCTTCATTAAAAAAAAAAAAAAAAAAAGCACTAAAAGCAAAAAAATAAGCACTAAAAACAAAAAATAAGGGCTTTAAAGAAAAAGTAAGCACCTATAAGGGCCTTTATATTTTATTTTCAAATATAAGGACTTATAAGCATATATAAGGATCGCTACAAACCCCGTGTTTATAAAAATCTTTCAGAACTACTATATCATTTCAAAATTAATGGCTACTATGTGACTTTGATATAAACACATGATGTACATATTTACTTGCAAAAGTGAAACTGAAGTATTTTACACAATTATGTTCAAATCAAAACTTTTATCAACCAATAGTAAATAGTAAATAATAGGCAATACTATGGCCCTCTATTCAGAAATCAAACGCAATATTTGTTCTTCTCACACTTGCACTTAGTAAGAGAATAACACTGTTGGCAACTTTAATGGGAAATGTACAAATGAGATCATCAAACAGCAAGTGCAACAAGCCCAGCACTTGAATTGTTTTATTGAGTTTATTATTCTACAAATAATACCTAAAGCTTTTTATAACCTAAAGATAGCAGCAATCATTAATAATTTTGGAACTGTCGAGTCACATATGCATCGACCGCCAACTTTATCTCACAGCCAGGTGTGTCAAATATGAATAACGGTTTAAACTTACTCTCAGTACTGGTGTATGAATGTTTAGATAGAACATTTAATTAGTATCTTTTCTACTACTAGATGTAACCTTATGTCTGTTATGGTGGAGAATGTTGACCTGCATTCCATTGCAGTACTTTTTATTTTTGGTATTTTGTTTCAGAATCAAAGCCAAAATTGTGGGTTGAGTAAAGTAAATAAAAAAAAATGCTGACTATTAACTGCATTAGCTGATATAAAAACATTAAGAAGTTCTGGATATTTCTGAATATTCGCTTTTTTTTTTTTTTTTTTTGGTGATTTGGGGATATATGGCCTATTACTTTAGAGGTTTTATTCATAGTTTAGCTAGCACTGAGGCAAACATTTTGAATGTTGATAAATGAAATGTCTTTTATACTTCAGATTGCAAGAAAAATATGATAAAGCTTTCAAATTAATTCTAACAACTACCTGAGTGTACCTCTCATAATGTGACAAAATTGGAACAAGTGGACCCCAAATTTCATTTACGCAAATTTTTTCCAAAGTTAGGCTTTGCAGTACAGATTCCCAGTTCAAACAAGATAGCCCAAGAGTGTCGTTCGGTGATTGCAGCCCCCATCCCAAGATGGATGTCTCAGATGGAAGAATATGAAACAGCCTCACATTGTTAGGTCTCATATTTAGTGAGAATGTACCATAAAATACCTGCAAAGTGATGAGAATTAAGCCTAACTTCTGAATTTCAGTATTAAAACAGCCACAATTGCTTTAAGCATTTCAATAATTAAGTCATGTACTGCTGATACAGACCAATCTGAAATAACAACATTTGTATAACTTCAACAAAATCAAAAATTAATTATGCAGATAATAGCATTTTCAACATGTGCAGAAAGAAAATGTATGATTTGCAATTACGTAGGGGAATCTTGGCTGCTAACTGAACAAGATCTTTGGGGTTTGTCAACTGGTGATGCAGGTCGCACAAAGCCCACTGGCATACTGGCAAGGGTTGCTGGAGGAACTATAGGTATAGGCCCTGTAAAGAAATAAAATTAAACTTAATAAGAAGTGTGCAGTAAGAACAGAAAAGAATATAAATGTATGTAAGAATTGTAACTATATATAAATTCTTTTGGTACCTTATCAGAATTTTATTTTGAAAATGCTTACAATAATAAGAGAAAAATACAGAAATAGAACTCAAACCTCCAAGAGAAACAGGAGGTCGAAATGCTGGCACAGTAGGTATGATTGCAGGTGGTGGCACTATCATTGATGGTGGAAGTGTTTTGGGAACTTCAATTCCTTTCAGTTTTAGCTCAATAAGATGCATGGCTATTGCAAATTCATTGGCATCCATTTTACCATCTGCATCTCTGTCCGCTAAAGCCCTTTCAAGCAAAAGTAATATTTAAAATAACATTAAAATAGCATACTTTGAAAATAACAAACAAACATACGTTTATCTTGGATAGAAAAAAAATATTTAAAAAATATATGAATCAAAACATGAACTTCTATTCAGATGTCTTCATTGAACCATAATAATTGCTTTGTCAAATTCTTACTAAAGACATATAGAAAACAGGTCAGTGACAGAGTTGTTCAAAAATGAGCAAATAATTATTAATACAGCACATTAAAACTTACACATACAGTGGGTGCTGCTTAATAAAATCACTGCTTTATAAAATTAACTGCTTAATAAAATAAAAACCCAAAGAACTAATTCAAATGAATACAATATGATTATAAAATAACCACTTAATAAAATCAATGCTACCACTTACAAAAATCATATCACTTTTAAAATTGTAAAATCAAAAGCCCAAAATTGTGTTTCAAGTTTAGTGATTTTGTTCGAAGTCAATTCACTTTCGCACATTGAAATGCGAATGCTAGAAATGTCCTATTTGGAATTATCAAAACCACAAAGTCTTGTGTTTCAAGGTCAGGGATTTCATTCAAGGTTGATTCATTTTTACATGTGGAGCTGCAAATGCTAACATTTTCTTATCTGGGACCAATCATGGGTGGGTGGGGGTCACAAGAGGTTTGACAGAACTATACTTCGGGACAAGCTAACCTGAGAACACATATAAGGCTAGAAGGACCTTTCACCCTCTTCTTCCAAGTTATTCATATACAGCAAACTGCCCGCGAATATTCAATTTAAACTGTTATTTAATTACGCTGGATTTGCGTACTTAAATAACAGTCTTTTTATACAATGAGAAGCTGCAGTTAAAATTGATAGTTCATTGTAGTGCAAAATGTAGGGCATGTTATTCATTGCCTTAATTTATATGAAATTTTTCACTATTATCTTAGTATATTCTGTATTAATTGTTTCCTAAGACACATACACTTCCAGTCAGGCCCATATACGTCTACAGTGTTTATATATCTTCGTAAGTTTAAAAAAAATTAAAGAAAAAAATGAAAAGTCTATGGATTCAAAGATAAAAGTTCAAATAAAAAACCTTTTCAAACATTTGTAGATCTTAGTTTTACTAACGTTTATTTTATTTTAAATCTTTACTATCACTTCTTATTTTCTACTTCCGGCCAGAATTATAAGCGTGAAGGAGTTTATGCAAAGTTTGTCTGGCGAACGCCAAGTATTTAAGTGTGGCCTTTTTGCCAAGCGAGAGAGAGGAAGCCGTGAGTTCGAAGCAGGCCGCTTACCTTAGAAGTTACGCAGTTGCTACTTTTGCCTTCCAGGCCAGAGGTTTTAATCCTCTTGATAAATTAAACGTATTGTAGTGTTCACAGTCTCTGTGCTACATACGCTTCCTGTTATTATAAGGCCAATCTTATTCTAAAGTTAAATTAGAGTTTAGTTTTATTTTGATATCTTTTACGTTAGACCCCGAGTGGAGGGTCATTGTATTCCGAAGTACGGAAGTCATTGTATATAAAGAAAAAATAAAGGGTTTTGTATACCCTTCGTCTGTATCCTGTCTACTTACTACAATTAGTGAACATAGCTTTAGTAAGCTCTCTGTTCCGAGTCAGGTCATTGTATGTTTCCGAAGAAGGTTAAGAAGAAACATTGAACCTGATAGTGGCGCCCAACGAAGAATAACCATGGCCGAGTTTCAAGAAGAACCTGTGCTGCCTGCAGAAACGGCTCAGAATCCAGAAATGCCAGCTGCCGCCCTGGAAGGATTTGGGTTACATCGTCCAGACCATGCGCGCTTCGATGAAACCAGAAGCAACGTTTAATGGAAACTCACCGGTAACCAGTTTTTTGGAAAAATTGGATGACCACTTCATGCTCTACCCCGTGCACGAGTTTCAAAAAGTTACCTTAGCTACCAGCGCTTTGAGGGGCCAAGCGCTTAACTGGTTCAAATGTATAGGCAGAAGTCTCTTGGGTCAAGCAGGAAGTCCCACCTATACTTACGAAAATTTCAAGACTGCCCTACTAAAAGCCTTCCCTGTTGTAAGGGATCGTGCGAAATTAGAAACAGGAACTTTTCAGTATATATCAACAAAGAATCGAAAACCTCTCGAGCTTTATTTTAAGAAAAATTCACGTTTTCAAGCTCTTGTATGGAAACCGTCCGGATCCTGAAATAATTCAAGTGATTTTGCCGAGGTTACTACCCCAAGTGCAAGACTTTATTGAATTAAGAAATCCGACTACACTGGAAAAGTTATTTGAGCTAGCAATCCAGTTTGAAAGTAGAAGAACGGCGGACGTCGAAAGAAGACGCCAATATCAACAGCGAAACCAATTTGGTACGCCAAGACTACAGCAAACTCAAGCACATGGCTACGGAGAAAAAGCGAATCAGTGGGCAAGGAAACCCGAGCATTCAAAAACAGCCGGCGAACGTCGACAGTTCAATAGCAACCCAGGAAAAAAGTCTCAAGGCCAGTGGAGAAAAGAAGGAAAGCACCGGAAAGGAAAAATAATTTAAACTAAAACGGATTTCTGCTGACGAGAGGGTGCGGAAATCCGAAGGCCACGAAAACCCCTCTTCCTACAAGTTAAATACAGTAATGGTGAAAAATTTAACTCTTCCGAAGATTGAAGTCTTGGTAAATAATATCCCGGCCACCGCACTCCTGGATACCGGCGCGCAGTGTTCCTGTGTGGCAGAAGTCTTTTTTAGAAAGTATTTTCGCAAATACCGCATATATAATGCGGATAATACGACAGTATTAGCGGCGCAAGGAGAACAATGTAAGTGCGTAGGTAAATAAAGTACCTTTGTACATCCGTATCAAGGACGAACAAGTAAAGGTGATGTTTTTTATAGTAAAGAATTTGCAAGCACACTTAATACTTAGGAATAGACTTTCTTTCAGACGCACAAGCTACACTGGATTTTAATGAAGCGTCCCTTAAGCTGACGATGAAACCAGTGCGTGTAGAAAAGGTTGAACCGCCAAGGTTAAATCTTGACCACCTGCCTAATGACGAGCAAGATAGAATCCGACAAGTGGTAAGTGAATTTGCTTCGTTATTTAGTGATATTCCAGGATTTACTCAGGTTACTAACCATAGTATTGACACCGGAGATGCATTGCCAGTTCGTCAAAAACCATACCGGTATGATAAGAATAAGGAAAAAATTATAGAATGGCATATTACCGATATGCTACGTAAAAAGATCATAACGCCCATCTCAAGTAGTTATGCTAGTCCCGGTGGTTTTATGTAAGAAAAATAATGATTATCCTTTGGAGCATCCAAAAAGGTGGAGATTCGCTATTGATTACCGTAAATTAAATTCCATAACGAAATATCCGGTATATCCGTTACCGATTATAGAAGAAATTTTAAGGAACATAAAATCAACCAAATTTATGACGACTTTAGACTTAACGAATGGTTATTTTCAAATAGGGGTCAGGCCTGAGGACGTGCCTAAGACTGCTTTTATAACCAAGTCTGGCACTTATGCATTTTTGCGTATGCCGTTTGGCCTTTCAGGCGCCCCAGCAACATTTCAGCGATGCATGGACATTGTGTTAAGACCTGTTCTTGGAAAGTCCACATTTATCTATTTAGACGATATCATTATTACTAGTGATAATCTCGACCAACATGTACAGGATTTAAGACAGGTGTTTTCTTTATTAAATGAGGCCGGTCTAAAAGTTAATGTCGAAAAGTGCAAATTTGCAGCCCCTGAATTAAAATATTTAGGTTACAAAATATCGCAAAAAAAGATCGAGACAGATGAATCAAAAATAATCGCTGTACAAAAGTATCCGACTCCAAACACGGCAAAGAAGCTCTCTTCTTTTCTAGGACTTTGTTCATATTATAGGTCCTTTATAAAAGATTTTGCGGCTATCGCTGAGCCATTGTTAAAATTAAAAAGGAAAAAGGCAAGATTCTCGTGGACGGCCGAAGCCAATAGTGCTTTCGAAAAATTAAAACAAGCATTAACGCAAGCCCCTGTGTTGAAATTTCCTGAAAAGGATGAAAATTTAGAAATTTCAGCGGATGCTTCGGATTATGCGGTAGGAGCGGTACTTTCGCAAAATCAGCAGCCCGTGGCATTTTTTAGCCGAACTTTAAATCAAACACAAAGAAACTATTCCGCGACCGAGAGAGAGGCACTTGCAGTTCTGTTAGCAGTGCAAAAGTTCCGAGTCTATTTTGGAAAGGCGCCGATAACAGTATATCTGATCATGCGGCGGTAACTAGATTGTACTCAGGAAAAAATTTATCCCCAAGGTTAATAAGATGGGCACTCAAGCTGCAAGAATATAATCTGGTAATCAAGCATACCCCCGGAAAGGAAAATATCGTAGCAGATGCCCTATCACGAATTAAAATTAGACGAACAGGGTAATACCGTAAAAGTTGCAATGCTGACAGCGTGTACAATAAATTCCCGAGAAACTGTAATAACCGAACTGGGTAAGGATCCTGAGTTTGGAAGTATTTATGAGTATTTGAAGGATCCTGAAAATTTTAGCCACCAAGATATTGTGGCGATAAGAAATAGGGCGGCCCATTACGAACTAATAGATGGTCTATTATTTTATACAAAAACTACGAATTCCAACAACGAATTTCGACCTGTTATCCCAGCTAGTCTTAGATTAAATATCCTGCAAGGAGCTCCATGACAGCCCTTTAGCTTCTCATGCTGGTATTCGAAAAACTATCCAACGCGTACGCGAGGCAGTCTACTTTCCTGAACTGCAAAAGTTAACAAGGGCGTATGTCCAGTCCTGCCCAACATGTCAAGCCGTTAATTATATTAATTTCCGCCCGGCCGGGTTTCTAAATAGTATTAAATCCGAATTTCCAAATGAAATAATTGGCATCGATTTATTGGGCCCTTTCCCAAAAAGTCAGTTAAATAAAAGTCGCTATCTCCTTGTTATGGTTGATCATTTTAGTAAATGGACCGAAATT